TGTGAGGGGACGGTTGCTCAGGCAACTTGGCCACCACGACCTCGTATCAGTACAAACATCAGTACAAAACTAGATCGTTACCTTATAATAAATCATAAAGACTTACCCTCATATGTGCTGGGACTAGGCCGCTCTGAACATTGTTGAGTTTAGAAGAAGCTCAAAGAATGATCGTTTCTCTGTCAGAGAGAAAAATGTAACGTAAATACACACACATTTTTTAAATGGACACAAATCCCCTGGTCATATATACATATATATAATACAGTGTTGAGTATGTTGTATGAAAAAATTGAAAATTTTCAAAGCTGTGAAGTGCAAAAAAAATTAGTCAAATGAAACACATTTACTTACTTATAATTATATATACGTTGCAATAGTAAGAAAATAGTAAGAAAATTATCTTTTTTTTTTCTACCTAAAAGATGAAGTAAAGTGGACGTACAGTACAGCACTGAGCTCCGCTCTGACTTTACATTTAAAATATCGCAAAACAATCATTTTATCGCTTCATGCTTTGGTTACAAAACACATAAATCAAATTCAACCAAATCAGACAAAGAGTATGAAAAAAGATAGATGTCAAAACACAGTGTTGAAGTGGAGGAGGTCTGGTGAAAGACGGAGAGTGAAGAGGCCTGAAAGACAAGACGTGGCTGGTGGTAGAGAGAGAGAGAGAGAGAGAGAGAGATGCCTGGTTTTATACAAAACAAAAACAGTAGCCGTTGCTGTGATGTCGTTCTGTTGATGTACATCGTGATTAAACTCACTAAGTCACGTCTGTTGGTTGGATTAAAATTACACGGTTCCATCCAACAGACTATGAGGGTAGACTGTGTATTTTTGTCCTTTAAGAAGTAAAATATCACCAAAGTAATTTAAGGGGGAAACTCCAGCCGAGCCTCAGGGCCTCTTCCTCCTCCTCCTCCTCCTCTACCTCCTCTTCTCAGATGGAGTTCAACCACAGCAGCTCCTTATTCCTAGAGAATGATGTGAAAGTGGGCATGTCACAGAAACGGAGGTCCGTGAACCTACGCTGGTGTGAACACTAGGTTTAGACTCACCTTCTTCAATTAATAAATGAGTCAGACATAAACATCAGGTGTTTGTACTGATACATGACGCTTGATAAGAAGTAAAAGGTATCAATGCCCTGATAACAATTCTAGTATTTCATTCAAATACTCAAAGTCTAATTTGAAAACATTAGCCAACTAAGTGACCTCATATGGAAGGACTTTTCACTGATTTACCAGAGTTGAGTCTCATTTGTAGTTAATTAAAGTATCTCAACGATATCAATAGTTTGAAGGTGTTAGTATTTTCTTTTATATATAGTGTTTCCTTTGGAATTGAAATACTCAGATAATTGTATTACTATATTTTGAAACATTTTAGGATGTGAGTATTTCAACCCAATTATAGATATTTAAAAAAGTTAAAAAATAGTTTAATAAAACTGTTTTAGTAAAACTTCCCAGTCCATACGTCACAGGATAACGGTGGTTACTTTTTACGTTACACACGTTGTTTTTTTTTTCAATCAAAGCTAATTAAATTTATAACTTATCACACACAATAACTAAGAATGATTAAAGAATTCAACAACATACTGAACGTTACATTAAATTCACAAACAGTAAACTATCGAGACCCGTCACAGTCTGACAGCAGCAGCACAGCGGCAGCTAACCGATGCTAAATAGCGGTTAGCATGCGTGAACACTAACTTGTGAAATGTTGTACAAAGTGGGTACAATAATAAAATAAATTGGTACTAAACTCAGAAGCTCCTACACGTCACACTATGTTCTAAAATACCATTGTATTCTGGGAAAAATAACCGAAAAAAACACACATTACTAGAGTTCATTACAGCTAACTCACCTCACAGGAAGATTATAGAAACACGACAGGCCACCAGAGGGCACTCATTTGACATGAAACAGTTAACATGGTGAGAAAGTAGGGTTTAATTAAACATTATAGCTAAAAAAATATATTCAGTTTAATGAAATACAAAAAAAAAAAAAAAAAATTCTCAATGAGTGAGAAGATTCTAGAACTTGTAAGGATCGGTTTGGAAAACAGTTACACACGAGGAGTGTTCAAAACACATTTGAACCCACAATATCAAACAAGGAAGTCCTGAAACTAGTAGTACACAGTACTGCAGAGTAGTATACAGTACTGTATAGTAATATACAGTACATGTGTACAGTAATAAACTGGAGTCATGTGTTATATATATATATATTTCCACCTTCTAGCCTCAAACATTAGCCTGGTATGTGGGTTATTTATTTGCCAAATGTGGGTGAATCGCAGCATGAACGGTGTCTCAAGTTAATGGTGTTTTCATACCCACTAAATGGGACTGGTTTTGAGCTTGACCTGCAAAAGTCCTGAGTCGCCGCGCAACAGTAAAAGGACGGCCCTGTTCTGAAAGAAACAAAACCACGGTCACAGGTCAGTGAGAAACAAGGTGAAGGGTCAAAGGTCCACAACAGACAATGGAAATAAAAGTGGTTTAATGTCATCTAACCTTTGAACTCTACTAACCCAAAGTTCTTTATGCTTGAACCACCGTGATCATGGAACATCACCTAAAAAGCGTTGCAGATTCATACCTCATCTCCTCCGGTGAATTCATTTATTCGACGTCCTCTCCTAAAGGCAGAGTACAGTACTGCACAGAAGGCACTTTACAAAAACGAGGAGAAAGAAACAGAGGAGTTTTGACCATAAACAACGATCATTGTACTTCACGCTTGCAATTACTGTAGTCATTAGTCACGGTCGCCCCGAGGAGCAGAGTGTGAAACAAAAGCCCTCAGTGTGAGTGCAGCTGCTGTGCAGTAGGAAGGCAGCGTGTTGGTCTGTAGTATAGCTTTATTGGACTGACACAGAAGAACATGTACCTTCAGGATTGTTGTTTTTAAGAGACATCAAATCATAGTAACATTCAGTATATATACAAACACACAATATCAGACAGTGTAAAGCACAAAGTCGTGGAGAGTCACATGATCAGAGTGACATCAGTCTTTGAGTGTTGCTCAGGTTTTTTTTCTTTTTTTTTTCTTTCACAATAATTGAGCAGTAAGTGACCCACAATGATCCCCCACAATCCCCTCTGTTTTATTTACAAAATGGCAGTGAGTCCTCTTGAAAAACAAAAGGATTGATTGAGTGTCTTTGATCCTCATGGGTGGCGTTACTCACACACACCACTAGTAGGTGTAACGACCATATAAAAATGTAGTACAGCAACTTTCTTGTCATAGCAAACATTCATACCTGTCCGTCAATGGCCCAGTCACATCAGCAGCCAATCAGATTAAAAACAACATAAAAAATGACACAAACTATTAAACATAGGGGGCACGGACCTCACCAGGACACTGCACTATTGGCACATTTACCACATGGTTGGGTTATTTTACACAGGACCTACGACTGAGGTTGGAATTAAATTATAGATTATTATGAAATGAGTTGGTGGGACTAGGTGGCGCTATTAGGGCTCAATATGGCCAATATTTCTGATTAAAAATTGAACGGGAATCTAACTGCTGGAGTTCAGTAAATCACACTCAGAGAATCTTATGAATTTGAACTTTAAAGTAGGTACAAACTACTAAAATATGGCTGCCAGAAGAGAAACTAAATGTTTTTAATTAAAAAACAAATCTAATTCCCATTCACATTAATTAATTCTAATAAAACATGGCTGCTAGAAGGGACGCTAAAGGTTTTTAATTTAAAAAAAATCGAATTCCCATTCACATTAATTAATTCTAATTGGATTTGCTCAATATTTAGCTGCACATAAAATGCATTTATGGTCAATAATGTTATTATTTTTCCTGGTTTTTCCACTCATGTTTCAGACATAATGCACTAACTTTGTATTCAGGGATTTAAACATGAGTTTTGGTTTAACACATCCACAAATGTACAACAACGTCAGGCAACTTCTACTACAGGTATGAAGGTAATCCTGGTTTGGTCTTTAAAAAATATAAAAATCTTCATCATGACCTAAAGATACAGTGATAGACTGGTAGCTTTCACTGATAGTCACATAACAACATCACACGAACGACTCGACCACAACAAAAACTCTGAGGTAAGAGGTTTACTTGGCACTTTTGAAATGGTTGAGGAACAAAATGTTCCTTTGTTGAAATATTTCTATCACGTCATTCAAAGTCATCTCAGGTCTGTGGGTGAACCCACCAATCCACCGTGTCTTGGTAAAACGTGTTGGCGTCGACCGCTGCCAAAAAGGATGTCTTGGTAAAACATGTTGGCGTCGACCGCTGCCAAAAAAGACTGCCAGGAGCAATAAAATATGGACTACACCGGGTGACACCTGACAAACAGTGATTAGCTGCAACAGGTGAAAGAAACGACGGCGTATTTGTTTTGACGTGTTTCTTCTGTTTGACTTTGACTTTGACATAATGCCATGATTTACAACTGAAATAACAACAAGTCCAGGAGGAAGAGATTTTATGGAATTGCTGCCACCTTTAAGACTCAGCCAACGTTGGTGACCGTGGTGAAAAAAAACAAACTGTAACAAGCACAAAGAAGAATTGATCCCGCCTCCTGTAACGTTAACGTTCCACATCTGGGATAAACGCAGATTTATTTATTTATTTATTTTTCTTATTGTTACCATAGACACTGTATAAGAAGATGTGGGTCAGTGGTTGTTTTTAGTGGTTGTTTTTAGTGGAGTTTGTGTTAAATTTACAACCTCGTGATTATTTTCATGTTTCCAGTTTTAGCTCCTGCTGCGATCGTGTGGAAAATCGGACAATATTTCAAGATGAGACTCAGTGAACACTGTACGACATCTATTGTTATACCTAACAGCTACGTCCACGTCTTATAAACCGTCTATGGTTTCAACAAGATGAAGGTAATTTACAGTAAATATCCAGATAAAACATCCAGTGACCTGCACACAGGCAGCAGTTTTTTTTTTGTTTTTTTTTAATACATCCCACCTCACGCCCACACTGCCATTACCATCACCTCCTGCATGCCTTGGTTTACTCCCCTGAGGCAGCAGATGTATCACAGCAGGTCTGATCGTCGGTGGAGGCGTGGATTATTAATAATACGACCATTTGTCGAACATTCACATTAAAGTCAGTGACAAGGTTCAAGCCACATCCGCGTATCGGAGCATGGACCACCCTGATGGGACGGGTTCCCGAGGAAATCCATGCCGGCCTGGTGTGGGTGCAGCAGTCACTGGTCTGGGTTGATGAATGACTTTCTGTCTCGATGGATTTCATCGGCTGTAAGACCTTGGAGGAGGTGTTCACGTGCTCTGTAGAAAACCAAGGAAAGCTGACCTCCTCCTCCCCAGGGTTAATAAAAGGTCACAGGGGGCAGTCCATGAGGTCAGCGCCCTACGTGGCCCCTGTCGTTCCTTGATGCTTGGGAAGGTCAAATGTCAAGGGGTCTATGTACATGAAGTGAACAAAGCACAGAAGCTGTTCTTCCTCAGTCACTCAGTGTCCAGTGTTGGACGAGAACGTACAGCAGTTCTTCACCTCCTGCTCTCCTGGTTCTGCTGCTTCAGGTGCAGCAGTCTCGCTCCACGTGGCAAAGGAAGTGGGACGGGGAAGGCAGGGACGTGGACGTGCAGGGATCATTTGAGGGTGGAGAAAAAGTGGGATTTGTGGAAGTGGAGGCGAGGAGAGAAGGGTAAGGACTCATCTTGTCGATGTTGACGTAGGTGGTGTTGAGCAGGACGTAGTGCTCCCCGGTGAAGCTGGCGAAGATGGAGGAAATACGCGACACGAGCTCGGAGAACGAGGGCCGGCGCTCCGGCTTTGGATGCCAGCACTCGATCATGACCGTGTAGCTGGAGGAGAGGAGAGAAGAGGAGTGAGGAAAGAAGTCCACGAAGCTAACGTTTGAGTTTCAGGTGGTTTTTCTACATCATCAGTCACCAATAAAAACAGGTGTGAAACACACACACACACACACACACACACCTGCTGCCATCGGACTTTCTGTGCGAACAGTGTGTGAAAGTGTCATATTTAGGAATGTGGACTATCGGACTTTCTGTGCGAAAGTGTCATATTTAGGAATGTGGACTGATCTCGATTAATCACAAATAATCCTGATCAGTTTTTTTCACCTTAATAAGGCCAAACTAATGTAACTGTTCTGTGATCCCAGGGCGTCGGTGTCGGTGTCGGTGTCGGCGTCGGTGAAGTGTTGAAAAACCTCTTCCTTCTCTCGTCGGTGTCGGCGAAGTGTTGAAAAACCTCTTCCTTCTCTTACCTCAGCACAACAACACTGTCATTATTGGAAATGATCAATAACGGCGCTCATCACCACGAGCCCAGAGTTTCTGCTGTCACTCTAACGCCCTGTCATCCTCTGAGCAGTGAAGAATTGTGGGAATGTTTGGAGGCGTGCATCCACTCATGACGTCTGTGTTTAATTTACAGCTCGAGAACTTTTGCCCTCGGCCTCCCTCACCTGAGCGCTCCCACTCCCCCCTCCCCCCCCCCCCCACTCAGGCTTCAGTGCTGAGTGAGTCGGTGTCTGCTCTCCACACTCTCTGAAAACACCATATGAATCTTAATTCAAGCGTCTGGTGGTATTTTTTTAAACTCATTTTTCTGAGCTGAGTTTACTCTTTGATGGCTCTGATCTGATCCTTTGTTTTAATCACACAATAAAAAGAAACAGAAATATTCCACTAGAATTACGAGCTGCATCATTTTTTAAAACAAATGTCATGTTCACGGAGCACACATCCATCCATCCGTCCTCACTTGGATGATTTATCACCACGGCTGCGGTTCAGTTCTTTTTTTTCTTTTTTTTTTTTTCTGGCAAACTGTGGCCTGAACTAATCCAAAGAAAAACAGGAGAAGAAAGGATTCATCGCTGTTGGCACCAGCGTCAGAAACCAAAACAACAACCATGTCCTTGGTTTGACGGTGGATCAGAACAGAAACAGAAACACAGGAGAACAGATGATGATGATGATGATGATGAGGTGCTGCAGTGACGCGTCATTCTCTGCCAGAGACAACTTGACTTTAAAGGTGCAGTTGTGCTTTCATTCAGCTTCTGATCAGCAGAAGAAAAGTTTTTGTGGACGATGTCTCATCTGCCCCAGAACCACGTGTTTGCCAACAATATTGTCCAGGATTTTAAACAGCGCTGACCTATGGAGACGACTGTGTTTGTGGTTAGGAAAAAAAAAAAAAAAGGGACTTACATGTCACCCCCGCCCCCCCCACCTGTGGTGCGGTGTAAGGTTCGGACGAGGAGTGAAAGGAAATGTGGGAGTGTTTTAAAGGAGCCTGATGATGATGGATGAACTGATACTTATATATGATAGCTCTCTCTCTCTCTCTCTCTCTCTCTCTCTCCCTGCAGCTCTTCCCTGTTGTCAGACTTGAGCTCCTACACCAGGCTGTATTTAAGTGCAGTAAATCACTCATAATAACTCTGTGTGTGTGTGTGTGTGTGTGTGTGTGTGTGTCAGGGAGCACTCACAGGGCATCGGGGCAGAACTCGGGCTGCAGCAGCCTCCTCCCCTGCAGGAGGAACACGGTGATGTCGAAGGAGTTCACATCGGAGTACGGTGGCGCTCCGCGGGTCATCAGCTCCCACAGCAACACGCCAAATGACCACTGTGGAAGAAACAAACAAAAAATAAAAATAAAATCTCCACGATCCTTCACCATCCAGCAGGTGAGAAGAGCGAGTTCTCACCACGTCAGACTTGGTGGTGAACTTGTGCGTCTGCAGACTCTCCAGAGCCATCCACTTGACCGGTAACTTCACTCCGCTCTTGTTGTGGACACTGTAATACTCCTTATCGTAGACGTCCCGGGCCAAACCAAAGTCTGCAACCTTCACGGTGTAGCTCTCGTCCAACCTGAGGACACGACAGTCAGGAGGACACAAAGATCAGTCTCAGAGAGTCAGTGGCACGACAACGTGCCACAAAATTGACATCAAAATGTAGTTTTATTTTTCCGTTTTTTAAGGTGAATTATATGACACTGCACACATGATAGAAATGTTGAAATGGGTGGCTCAACGGTAGTCCTAGGGGGCGCTGCAGGAAAGGTTTGTAAAGCAGTGGTGGCCTTCGTGTGTGAACCAGATGAAGTGTGAACCTACATGCAGTTTCTGGCGGCCAGGTCTCTGTGGACAAACTTCTTGCTGGCCAGATACTCCATCCCTCTGGCCACCTGCAGCCCGAACCCCATCAGATCTTTGACTGTCGGGTTCTGAACGGAACACAACAAACATCAGACTTTGGTTCGGACTAAAATGTTACGCGACGTTCTTCTCGCAGACACACAGTCGCTGTAGAAAACACACACCAACATTCAGAAACATTCATGTCCTTACGTGAGCCTCATCACGGATGAAGTTGCGCAGGTCGCCGTGCTTCATGTAGGGCAGGACCACCAGTGGGGAGCCCTCTGGTGGCAGACAGATTCCCAGCAGAGAGAGGACATTGGGGTGGCTGAAGTCCTTCATGATGATGCCCTCCTTCAGGAACTGCGACACCTCCTCCAGATCAGTGATGCCTAAACAGTGACAAGCTTTTAGGCTGACGTTCAATGGACGGTGCAGTGGTCCCACTTTTTCTTAGGACGGTGGAGGCATCAGTGGCTCCATCAACACTTTGTTGTGACTGGTGTGAATTGACATTTCTCAGATGTAAAGCTCTACATGAAAAGTCAAGTCCAAATCCTAGTTGAAATAAACGAGCAGACGTCTCAGAACCATCTAGAAGGTCGTTCCATATTTACCTTTGGGAAATCAGAATAATAATGTTGGGACTTTAAAAAAAAGCCAAACCAATCCCCATTTGCCGATTATTTCTGCACTTTGACCTCGCTGACTCAGCACTAATCTGGTTAGAGATGGAGACGGTTCCTGTCTGGAGACTCCAGTCATCCAGACCCAGTGACATTCAGTTTCCTGAGCCTCAGATTCTAGGTCAAGGAACATAACCAGGTTATAGTTAAGAGTGGGGGGGGTGAGTGAAGTCATGTGGTCGCAGGAATCAGCCTTTGTCATTTAAAGAAATATAGATAAGAGATAAAGAAAGGTGAATCACTTCAAGGTCTCAGAAAAAATAAATAAAAATAAGCCAAAAATATAAAAGTGCTGACGTTAAGGTTAAGGTTTAAATCCCCGGTGACTCTGTCACTCTTCTGTCCTCATTCCCACTGAAACATCCATCTCTGACTCTCCCAGTGACAGGATGAGACAGGAGCCTAACGTCGTCTTCACCGTCGGCCACTCATCCGTCACTGTTGTCCACAGATGGACGTCTTCATCGCCGCGCTGAGATCAGAGTCTTAATGATAGTAGAGCCTCATGATATCAGGCCATCATTAGGTTCCAGTGATGTCAGCAGAGGTCGGAGGCGGGGATTACGGTCTGGATGTAAAGGTTTATAAAGAGTCGGAACACGAGCCTGGAGGAACGTCAGTCCAAGAGATCAAATGGACCAATAGAAACAGAGCTCTGAAGGAAAACAAGTTCCATGATTGATATGATCAATAATGGAAGCCACGACGGACGATGATAAGCAAATGTTTTCTCTAATGCTTTATTGCCCATTTTCCACCAAATGAGATCAGCTTCAAATGTTTGTCAATTTGTAGATTAGGATTTAATTTGGCCATAAATAGATGATAAGTTAAAACAGGAGGGGGCAGCTGTGAGTCGTCAGCGTGTGCTCTCCTGGGAACAGCTTATTAAAGTCATAAATCAAAGAGCGTTTGTTCTTCCATAAATAGAAGTTCATTATTAAGTTCAACTTTTTTACATTTTCAACCACAGACTCAGACACATCTGTGGTCTCTTCTGATTTGGTACTGGATCAGTGAGGCAAACGTCCTAATGTTGGTAAATGACATGAAAGAAAAAAACAACCTTCAACCTTTGTCCTGAAAGGTATAAGAGTAGGTGAAAAAATAGAAAAAAACCCAAAACTATATCTCTGTGTTTCCTGCATTTAAGTCTAAAAATAAAATGAAAAAGAGGAAATTAAAATTCTAAAATTATAGTATGGTGTCACCCTTTCATTACCATTGTATTTGTTTAATTTCTGAAGGGTTAGCGCATCACTACTAAGTGATGGCCTATGAGGCCTATGCCAAGAGTCACCTCTAGGGGAGCTCTTTATCAGGTCAGATCTTCTGTTTTGGTTCATCTCAAACCAACAATCCAGACAGTGGTCGACAGAAAAACCTGTCGCAGAGCTTCAATAATTTTAACAAGATTCCTGCCTTTAAAAAAGGAAAGATCGTTGGTAGAAGGAAAACCTTTTTTCTGTGTGAAGTGTGAAGGTAAAGTTGGACGTCTTCCTCTAGATAAAGTTTGTGTGTGACACGGTACTTACGATTCAAAGACTTGACGGCACAGTGCTGCTTCTGCCCGTCTGGTTCCAGCAGAGTTCCATGGAAAACACATCCAAAGTGACCTGCAGGTCAGGACAGGAGACACGGAATTCACCTCGTGTAAAAACATTTCCTAACAGCGTTTCCTAACAGGCCTAATGGAACAAACCAGGCTACTGTAGACAGTGATATATGAGAGGCAGCACTTTCAGGTCTGAGGACAATGAGGTCCATCTGTGGGGCGGGGGAACAATAGCGGCTCAGACCGTAAGCTGTAAAATAACCAGGAATCATTCAGAACAAAAACCAGAAAACCTTTTTCTTGGCTGTTTTCGAGCTCACGGTTAAAAATGTGACAAGTCTGAGCACAGTCAGTGATGACGTTTCCCAAAGACTGGGTCGAGGGCCCTCAGGTGGGTCACAAGAGATTGTTTTTTGGGTCGTCTCACATCATGTTTCCCAGGAGTTTACGACTAATGTCTATCGACTTGGGTCGTGAAGGTTTGTGACATTTTAAAAAAGGGTCCCCAGAAAAAAAAAATGTTTGGGAAACAACTTTGTTGTTAACAGACCTGTTCATCAAACATGACTCTGATCCTTTCATCTGTACTGGAGATCCAGCAGATGAACCACTGCGAAGCACGTCCATATATGGACGCAGCTGTACAGAACGGGAGCCTCGGTTTGAACACTCCACTTGGAGCGGTGTGTACATATATTTATATATATATATATATATTTAACTTTGGTTCATTTACATCTTGGTTCACTCAGAGCCTCTCTCTCTTTGATCAAGAGCACATGGTCGTCTGATTGGCTCCAAGATCACAGCAGTCCAGTGAATTCGTTCTCTGTTCACAGTGTTAGCAGCGTGATCTCAGGCCACGGCTGGAGCTCCTACATGCACTGGAACTTTATGGACAAAAACACGTTCACCTGAGCCTCCTTAACGCCTGGTTTCACCGATTCTGACTCTCTCTTAAGTTACCCCGGCCCTCACACCAAACCTGCCCCCTCATGTAACCCAGTCTGGGGGTTTTCATCTCAGACGCAACAAAAGCTAATAACCTGTGTCAAACCACACTGACTTATGGTGCGTTTTATTGAATAATTTCTCTTCTCGAGGACATGAGGTCCTGCCCCAGACTGGGAAGAGGTGGAATGAAATGAGCGCGGCATTCTCCTATCACGTCCTCGCAGATGGCTGGGGGTGTTGGATTACAACTCCCAACAATGAACCCTGGGAATGCTAGCTGTGAACAAATCATCCTACGCCGCTCTCAAATACCCTGCTCTGAAATCCAGGCTTTTATTTCCTTTTACGGGGGATCATTCAGTCGAGGGAGGGGAGGGCGGGGGGGGGGGCGCGGTCTGCCCGAGATTTTTGGGTGTTCCCTTCTTCCTCTTCCTTCTGCCCCCCCCCCTCAATTTGATGTTAAATCTGAACTGCAGTTCTGAAGGACCTCAACAAACACCACAACACTGGATGATTTCTTTCTTGTCTCCGTGTCCGTGGCTCGTGGTTTTATAGAGCACATAATTAAGCACTTGTGGGCGACTTAAGCCTTTGTGCAGCTTTACATAAATCCCATATTAAACCCGAGCGTTCTGGACAAAAGTGAACGTCAACATCGATTACATGGATTCCAGCAGGATTAAATGTTTTAGTGAGGAGACGCCATTTTGTATCATTTCTCTGTCGTGGAAAAGATGAGAATTTAAGTTTCTGGTTTGAGAAGAAGAATCTCCTGATGAACAAACAGAGAAAAGTGAAGTGCTGTAAAAGAAAGTCAAGATGTTTTTACGACTTCTTTAAATTAGTCGAATGTGACTTTATAACATCAGTAACTATACGCTGATGATGCTGTGATCTCAACTGCTAGTTTTAGGTCTTTTATCGCTCAGGTTGTGTAAACAGTAAGTCCATCATGGTCGCATTCAGGAAGAAAAATGGAAAAAATTGATGACGGTATGAAAACACGGGTAAAAAATCCTATCATTGTTATTTCACCGAAACATCGTCCAAACCAGGCACTTAGGAACATTCAGTACATTTTTAAATCCAATTTTTAAGATCTTTGAACATGAATGTCTATCTCAGCCAGGTCGTACTTCAGTCTCGAAGGTTGGAAAACCAGGAAACAACACATCTACCATCGGCCATGAACGAATGATCGTTCATTCAAATGGACAACGCTGGTAAACAACATGAATTCATCCACCATCCACCATCGGCCATGAACGAATGATCGGTGATAATTTAGGCAGAACTGATCGTTCGCTGGTAAACAACATGAATTCATCCACTCATTCATTCGTTCACTCGTTCACTCGTTCATTCCAGCAGTTGAACCACAGTCGAGGACACGTGATCCTGATGATGATTTACTGCTGGAGTCCGTCTGACACTGACCTCTGCCGATGATTTGGTTGAGGTGGAGCAGCAGCTGTTCCCTGGCGATCACCACGTGCTGCACCTCTGTCAGCAGGTCCGGGTGGAGACAGGACGGGTCTATGTGGACCGGAGCCATCAGCAAAGGTGACATCAGCTCGCCATCCATCCCCAGACCCATCCCGGCGCCCAGCGCCCCCAGTCTGGGAGACATCAGCTCGCCGTTGCCACCAAAGATAGGAGCGGCTGCCCGGCACGTCTCAGGCCTGTCTGTGCCCTGATCTGGAGAGGCAGAGGAGATGAAGTGTCAGGTCAAAGGTCAGCCACTGTATCAGCGAGGCCACTTCATGAGGTCAAGGTCTGATCACGGAGACAGACCGTGACCTGACCCTAGGACGATGGACGCTGGGAAAACAAAGGTTCTGATTTCTGAGTCCATGCTGAGGATCGGATTAAAGATTCCATGGAAGAACACTGTCGTAGCATTGATTCATCAGAGAATAACAGTATGCCTCTGTACTGGTTTGGGGCTGCATTTCAACCCAGCACCCAGCACTTGTAATTCTTTAAAATCTTTATATTAAATTTTCAGTACGATTAAAACTGTCCACTTTTTCCCGCTGGAAGAAAACTTGTAATTTTCTTTTTGGGGAACCATGAGAAACAGGTGTGTCGGTTGACCAGGGACCGTCTGTTAGGTTACAGTCCACCGACCCCCAAACACCCCCCGAGGACAAGTGTTAATCCATCCATTAGAAACCTTCTCAAATGTTGACTTTTACAGACACTTTCAAGTAGAAGGAAAATTGCTTTGGCCTTTATTGTCAGGGATCATAACTGCCCCCCCTCCCCCCCCCCCCCCACAGCCCTCAGAGAGAACCAGACCACAGGTGACTCACGTTACATCAGACAGTTTTATTCAGATGTGACTAAACCTAGTCTGTCTTTGTCGGAATTTCCTCGCATTTTTACCAATTTGTATTTTTCTTAGAACTTCTTATAAAAACGTACAAAAGTTTGAAGTACTCGATATCATGAGTCATGTCCAACATCTGGCTCTGGGCCCACAATGTTACATGTTTATTTTGGTCATGTGAGTTTAAAAGGAAGTTTGACTTCCCCTGTTCAACAGACAGGTGGTGCTGTTTGCAGCTGTATTATTACTTTAGGTATTTTTAGGAATTACATTTTTTTCTTTAGTTTGTAACTTTTATTTTACTCTGAAATAAAAACTTAATGTTTCCTTTTTATTGGTTGGTCCAATTTAACTGTTGAAATGTTTTTGCGTTGAATCAATGTGGGACAGAAGACGGGGGTCGGGGGGGTCGGGGGTGGGGTCGGGGTCATGTGATGACATACCTTCCAGCAGGGTGGTTCTATAGTCCACTGACTCGTGGGAAACCATTTCATTGGTTGGGCTAACGCTCCTTGCGTTAGCTAGCCTGTCCAGATGCTGGATGTGGCCGCGGCCGTCGTACCAAACTTCAGACAGATCTGAACAACAACAACAACAACAAGAGAATCAAATCTGAAGAAGAGCAGAGACGCCTGACAGGAAGTCTCCGTTGACTTCCTGGTGTTGATCCGTGTGACTGTGGAACTCACCGTCGATGTGTTTGTTCCTCTTCCACAGCAGCAGCGTTCCCAGCAGCAGCAGGATCAGGCTAACGCAGACACAGCCCACGATCAGAGCCGTGTAGTCCGGTTCCTGAGCCAGAGTCACCGTACCCAGGGTTCGGATGGAGTCCGCCTGACGCCACTAGGGGGCGGAAGAGAGGGCAGATGTTACGGATGTCAGTTAAACCTTACTGGTACAGCTGGTAAATGACAGGATGTTTCCAGACTGTTTACTAATGCAGTGGAGCTGCAGTAACCTCACAGGTCTGGGTCCAGGAGGGCGACCCGACGTCCTGTTACTGGACCTTCACTGACCGCCCGTCTGGATCCAGACCACACACGTGGTTCAGGTCTGTCGATCCTGAGCTAAAATTTACATTGACGACGACGGATGTGTTACATCCTGTAGATGAACTGTACGACTGTTACTGGGACGGACGAGAGGTGACGTGTGATTGGTGGGACACTGGGAGACAGGAGGCCCTGATTGGTCGGGGTAAACAGCTAATGAGTTCACAACAATGGGTTAATCATGGTAATGAGATTGGTGCTTGCAATTTAATTAAGACACAATGTGCTCACACACCTTCACACACACACACACACACACACACTCAGAACATCTCATCTGCAGCAGCAGTTCAAACCTCATTTCCACTAAACTTAATAAAAGCAGGAGGCAATATCACTGATGTGATCTGGCCCCGAGTGTGTGTGTGTGTAAATGTAACAAAGTGTGTGTGTGTGTGTGTGTGTGTGGAGATAGCAGATAAATAAATACGTCTGTGCCTGTGGGAGCTCTGGAGGATATTGTCTGACCCCCAGAGATAAAGGCTTCATTTCTGAAGAGCACTTCACAGGTCAGTGGTGATGGAGCTGAGAAGGTCTGAGGCTGGAGCTGATGATGGTGAAGGTCTGAGGCTGGAGCTGATGATGGTGAAGGTCTGAGGCTGGAGCTGAGGTCATGGACTGATCTTCAGGCCTCTCTCTCTCTCTCGAGTTTCTAATCTTACTTTAATATATTTCTGTCATTTTTAGGGCGTTATTAGAATCAAGGAAGAATTTCCATCCAGTTTTATCAAAGGACTCGTTGTCAGAGACACCGAACATCTGTCGTCTGTCCGACAGGAACAGAAGCTCCGATGTGTTTCCTCCAGATCCTCTGTTGGAGATGACAGTCTGATGGTGAGGCCTCTCACTCAACACACCCTCATAAATTCTCCAGCAGCCGTATCTCGTCTTCGTTTGTGGGGTTGAATCCGGGCGGGAGAGGCAGTAAAGTATCCCGCGAAGGATCAGGAATGCTGCAGGAACGAAGCCTTCCATGAATTTCCCCAGAGCCTTGAGTGAGTTCACTGTAGCAGATCCTGTTACTGTGTGTTACCGTGTGTCACGGTCCTGAGGATCCACACTGTGACTTGATGTTTTTAATTAGCCTCCATCAAACGGGAACTGGTTTTAGTTGCAGCTCAGACACGTTGAAGAAACTCAGACAAATTCAGTTTGTTCTACAGCTCGGCGTGGCAGCCTGTCTTCAGACCGATGTTGTGAAGTGATATGAACGTTTCATTGTTCAACGTCTCATGAATCAAGAGCCCAGTAATAAAACTGGATCAATGATCAGGGTTCAGTGTCTGCACGTCTGATCAAACCCTCTGGATCGTCACAGTCTTTGGACTCAGACTGAACTCAACTCTTTGCACGACACTGTCATTAGAATAATCGTCTCGACGGTAACAGATGTGTAACTGTTGTGTAACAGTCAGCAGTTTTGTGTGTCTGTCCAGAAGGACAATGGAGGGTGTAGACGTTTAATTAGCCTCTCTCCAAACACTGTGCTAATTTAAGAAGTCGCTTTGTTGACCCACTGTTCCACAGGTGACAGTGAGTCCAACTGGTGGGTGTGCACACACACACACACGCACACAGACACACACACACACGCCACCACGCCGTCGTCACCAGCAGGGGGCTGCGGTCGGTGCATCGTCTCTGTAACAAACGGCCTTAAATATGGAAACACCTATAAAAGTATCAGGGTTATTTGTTTCGTGCTTATACGACCGATTACGAACGCGACGCCACGACGCTGTCGTCACCAGCAGGGGGCTGCGACTCACCTCCACCTGCAGCTCCTTGGCTGGATTAGCCTGCAGCTCAGTGGGGACGGTGCACTCCAGAGTGTTCCCGACCAGAGTCAGAGTCTCACAGCTGTGGTTGGACACAGTCAGGACCTGACATTTCATGGCTTCTCTGTCCATACGGTCGCCCTGTGTTTGAGGGGAGACAAAAAGGACAGAGGGAGACGGAGGGAGACGGAGAGAACGAGTGAGGAACAGAAATGAAGGCTGCAGAGGGTGGAGCTTCTAATGTCAAACCCAAAACACCTGATACTGGTGAAAGATGCAGTTAAAGCTCTATCCTTTATCACCCTAACCTGCTGCACACGTTTTTAGACAGACAGACAGAGAACTTTATTAATCTGTTCCCTTCAGGAAATGTAGGGAATTGCTGAAGGCTGCAGAGGGTGGAGCTTCTAATGTCAAACACAAAACACCTGATACTGGTTAAAGATGCAGTTAAAGCTCTATCCTTTATCACCCTAACCTGCTGCACACGTTTTTAAGACAGACAGACAGAGAGAGAACTTTATTAATCTGTCCCTTCAGGAAATGTAGGGAATTGCTGCTGTTAGCAGAAGAAGCTACGCATGCTAATAATGCCTCACTGCTACGGCGTGTTCTAGGAAACGTCTAAAGTGTGTAATAAGTGTGTAAAAAGTGTTAGCCTTCTGTGTTTCCTCATCCTGATTCATCGTCACTGACAACAGTTGGAACCAATAAAGAGACAAAGAACAACGGACTCTGACTGGAAACGCATGTGACATGGAGCACGTGTGTGTGTGTGTGTGTGTGTTAGTCAGGCTGTCGAGTTTAACCGTAATCTTTGGAAAAGAAACAATGTCGTGTCTGAAGTCGTGTGTGTGTGTGTGTGTGTGTGTGTCGCCCCATTGGTTCCCAACTCTTTGTGTCGTTGTTGTTTCGTTGCTAATTCTCCACTGGTTTTCTCTCTCTCTCTCTCTCTCTCTCTCTCTCTCCCACACACACACATAAACACACTTGTCGTGGTTCAGTAAAAGCCAATAAAGAGAATGATCACATTCCTTGCGTGACAGTTTGGGATTTAACAATTTGACACAGAGTAGCTGCTGGCACCTGTTCCTGCCCTCTCTCTCTCTCTCTCTCTCTCTCTCTCTCCCTCTCTCTCTCTCAGTCTCAGTGTTTCCAGCTGCAGGTGTGACTGCGTCGTATAGAGGAGAGTCATTAAAGTCATTAACCGTCCTGACAGAGCGGACGGTCGATCTAAACAAACCGTCGTCTGACTAATTGGACGACGCTTCTCACGCTCCTCAAACTGATCAACAGATAAGAGGCTGGCGTCACGCCACCGTCAACAGCCCGCCTGGTTCGTCCTCGGAGTGAGAGTATTTATTGGCAGCCATTTTGGGGGGAGGGTTACAACTATCAGATGGCACGTAACGAGCCCGGGGGCTTTGCCCCCTTCTCTGGCAGCCGGGGCAGAGCGGGGTTATCAGATGGCATTAAATGTGGCCTGTTATGATATGAGGCCTGGTTCTGTCCCCCGTGGGTAAAAACAAGGGGGTT